CAGTCAGATTCTTCAAAGTTCTAAACATGACACGAGGCTGGCATGATTAGGAAAGGCAAAGGAAGAATGCTCTCTAAAAACCACGGGTAGAGAACAAAGGGACCAAATTCATGGACAGGTAACAATCAGAGTCAGAATTGAGGGATAATGCTTGGAACGACAATTGTTTCCTTTAGCCATGAGGAGAAAAACAAAGTTTCTTTATATTTATTAAGGGCCTATCATATGCTGGACATTGTGCTGGGCACTAAGTCAGGGTGCCTGCCCTACATGACCTTGAAGTCTATGATAGGAGAAAGACACAATAGCAAAAGGTGATCCTATGTCCCAAAGGCAGGGAAAGTACCTCAATCTGAGCACAATAAAACGAAGAAACAAAATCAACAAAAACCCTAACCTGAGGCTTTTCATGGTGTAGGCACACAGGGAGTACTGTGTGTCACGGGTCTGAAAAAATAGCTCTCAAAGTGGCAAGTGTGCATGAGGCCAATTACCAAGGCAGACTGTGCTGTATTCACCAAGAGGCCTCATCACTAGAGTCCAGCACAAACACTCTGACCCCAGAAGTGGTGGTCCTTACCAGTACTTCAATTCTCAAGTAGGTGCCACAGAAAGCTTATCTTTTCCTTGCTAGCAACTCCCACAACATTCTATATAGTACATGTGATTCTTTCTAATGGCCATATAGTATTGTGTTTTATGGGTATGCCACAATTTATTGATCTAGTTTCCCACTGGTGAGGAAGTTTAGGTTGCTTCTAGTACTTTGTCACTGTAAATTAATATGCAGACTCTTCAATAGGTGAGGCCCACTTTTATCCTTTATTTAACACAGGGAATACAAAAAGGCATCCCCACAAATGAAGTGGCAGATAAAAATGAGGAAAAAATGCCAAAGGTCAACAGGTCCTTAAATCTGCAAAGAGCTCTTCCTTGTGCTGACAAGGAGAGCCTGCATCTGCTTGGGTAGGCTTAGAAATACAGCCAGCCAGCTGCAAAAGTCTGCATTCAGGAGAGCCTGTTATCATACTATGTCATCTATTCATAAATTTGGATAGTGGATAGTATCACAGTCCCTTGGGACTGGACTATGCATATTAATAGCACAAAAGCATTAAGGAAAAAAAAGTAGACATTTTACTTTTCATTCTCTCAAATTATTACCTATTGTATAATTGAACCCTCAACAAAATTATAATAATAAATGCATGAAATAAAGGGATCCAAATTCAGACTCAATAAACACTTGTGTGCCTATGACTAGCCAGGCACTAATAGGTGTGTTTGCACAAAATAATTCTCACAGTAAGGAAAGTATTAACATCCTTATTTGTAGGTGAGGAAAATAAAGCTTAGAGTGCTTGAATTTGGGGGGAAAGTCCCATACTGCTGCTAGTAAGTTTCAGATTTAAAATCTGCACTTGTTTCTTGCCATCTCCAACCTACCATTCTTTCAACTAGCTAATAGTTCCCAGATACAATACTAGCCCAGCACTGCATTATATTAAACAGTAGCCCTCTATAACTAGTGTCAATTAAATTTTGGAAATAAGAAAGTCTGAAACTAAATCCTAAGTTAGGTGTTTGGGGATGTGTGTGTGTGAAATGGATAACACGGAAAAATGTTATCACATTTCACTTTATTTCGTTGGAATAAGTTTAAAATAAATGCCATATTTTTATAGAACTGGAAACAGAATCACATTATTTAAAACATAGAAAAGCAAAGGAAAAAAATACATATAGACTTTAAATGTATTAGTTATATTTTGACAGTAATTCTGAGAGTGAAACCAGAAAAATTAAAAGGGAAAAACTCAACATGAAAGGATGACAAGTGATAAAATGGTACTGAAAAGATTTTTATTAAAGAATTACCAGAAGACTGGGCGATAACCATAGCCTCTCGCTAATGACAGCTACTTCTGCTGCTGCCAGTTTATGGGCAGTTCTAAAATGTGTTTTATTTTGAAAAATTGCTCTAAAAATCACAGATACCTAAGAAATAGGCATTGTGAAATGTGGCACAAAAAATATTCTCCACCATCTGGGCTTCAGAGGCCAGCTTCAGAATACAGTGCCAGCCTGCACCTGTAAACTTCTGCCTTCTATCAATCAATCAAGAGGACAGACAGGATGGTAGAGAGACTTGAAATGGGTGTGAGGGGGGTCTGGGTTCCTCTCCCTCCTTAGCTGGTTAGTAGCCATGTGACCTTTACTTTTTGGAGTTTTCTCATTTATAAAACTGGGCATAACAGTCTTGATTATGAGGCTCAACTAAGATAAATGTATGAGAAAATACTTTAAAAATGTGAAGTCTATGTATAAATGTGAGGATATACAATTTGGTTCAAAGAATTAGATGCTGCTATGTACAGGGAGAAGTGTCCATGACTAAGAACTTACATCTTTTTAGGTGATCTCAGCAGCTACTCAGGTAAGGGTTCAAGTGCCCTAGATTTAGAAGAAATGCAACTGGGCCTGAAATAAGCCTGGTTGTGAACAAGAAAGAAATTTAATAGCAATAAAAAGGCCATGTGATGTACTAGCAGGATCCTTATTCTGTAAAATCTACAGGGTAAATTGTAAATAACTGAACAGAAATCTAAGAGAAGCAAAACCATTTAACCAAGGTCACTCATGAATGGCAGACAAAACTTCTAAAAACTTTGTATGTGGATTTGTAATACTATCATCTCACCTTAACAAACAGAGTTGGTTTCACCATCCTCATCCTCATCCTTGGTATAGACTGAATTCCAGAAAGATGAAGTGACTTGGCTAAGGTCACATCGGTGATCAAAACCAGAATCCAGGTGGTTTTCTGGCTCTCAACCAGTGATTTTTTATCTATCACCATAGTGCCTACCCCTTTTTTCAGGGTACTGATATTTCTGCTGTCTCATGTTAGAAAATTTTACAAATGTACTTCACAAAAATATATATATATTTTTTTTTAAACCTACCATTTAGGCACAGATCCACAACATTTTTTGTGTGTGACAATTCACTTCTCTGAGAGAGAGGCTTTGAGTGAGGATAGTTTAGGATTGTGCTAAATCTAAAACCGACCTGAAGATTTCTGTATGAGGAGGTGGTAAGGGAGGGAGAAGGGAGGAAGACAGATTCGATGTACATACATCAAGTTTCATCTCCACGGTTCTTAATTTTGGAGAAGTGATTAACCATTTAGTGACCCCAGTATGCCCATCATCCCTGTAGACATGCCCACTTATAATATAGTGGGGACCTGACTGAGTACACTAAACAACTATCTTAGTCCTGAAAATCAGTGATTGTAGATGTCCAATTGGTGACCACTATCCTAAGACACTCCATTTATAAAATAGCTATCCTAGTCGTTCTTTAGCAGAATATTACATAGATCAATCAACCAACTATTTAAAGCCTATAAACTCTAAATTTACTCACCTGCAGTATCCCTCTCCAGGATCATAAATATAAAAGAGACTAGAAATTATGACACAATTGGTAAGTAACACATGGAGAAGAGAGATCAAGTTTTAAGCTAATACTTATACTTTATGGTTGACATATGAACCATGACAGAACCACTTCTCAAACCATGAAAGGAAAGCACTAAAAATAAAATTAATTTTTAGATAATTGTGAGACATCCTGATGTGAAATGGTGAAATGAGAAAGAAAGGACACAGTCATTCAGCGGGGAAAGGCAGAAATCAGAAATAGTCCCAGCTACATGAAAGCCTTTGTCACTTTAGGGATGTCACTTAACCTCCACGTTCTGCAGCATTCCTCACTAGCAAAATAGGAGTTTTAAAACTTGTCCTAACTACTTCACAAAGAAGTAAGGTCAAAATGAGGGAACCGATGTAAAGTTATGTTGGAACATAGTAAGAGTTATATATGCAGATTATTTTATAAACTCTGTACAACTGGATTAAAGTTTATAGTGAACTAGATATCATATAGAACATTAAAATAGCAATGCTTTCCAAAGAAACCTATTTGCCTAAGAGGGAAAAAACTGTTAAAACAATTCTAAAGCTACTTTTCAACAGGATGATGATATTTGGAAGCATTTCTGTAACCCACGCAAACATTAAATTGTTTGACAAACACGCATGCCACTTCGGTCTTAGGCATTCTTTGATCGACCAGTTAAAACCAACTTTGTGGGGCCCCCTTACAGCTAAACTTGACTCATGCTATAATGCATTACAAAATAAACTTTGAAATAGAATCAACATTCTTTTACCCTTTTAATTTTTAAAAAAACTTTCCATACTGTCTTAGAAAAGTTATATAAGGAAAGATATATATATATAATTTTTTTTTTTTTTCAAATTCTTTGGACTAATTCAGGGCCCTGATATGTAGTTTTGGAGGCTTCTTTTTGGTAAAAGATGTTTCTAAATTTAATAAATATGTACATACCAATAAATTATTATTTATGTCATAGAACCTACATATATAAACATATTAGCTCTTTCGTAATAGATGAGATTTTCTAATTTTTTGTATCACATTGTATTTCTTATTTTATTCATTTTTTTTTTTAATCACACCTTAACGTGATATTTACTTCTTCACAATAATGAGACTGGTAAATATCCCACATTCTGGAGACTGTAAACATGGGTCCTATGATTATGATACTTCTCTCTGACATAATGTTTTATATTTTCCCAAAAATGGTCACACAAAGGACCTCACAACCGTGTGAAGCAGGCAGGAACACACTGGTTGAACTGCTAGGAGCTGACTACATCTCAGGCGACTGCTCCCCATATCAGGACTTTTCCCACTGGCTGGTTCTCGCTCACTCTTGCTCTCTCGCTCTCTCTCCCCCTCTCTCTGTCTGTCTCAGGTTCAGTGTTAAATATTCAAAGACAATTTTTCCACCATTGCATGTGGCATCCCTAAGCTCGGAAGGGTGAGACATCCCCGGGAGATGATGCTGGCGATCCTCGTCCTGGGGGGTTAGGCTTACGGGCCTATGCGCCCAGTGCTCTCACCGTCCAGGTGGCTGACTTGGCGGTGCTCGACTGCTGGAAGGACACGTCGAAGCTGTGCGGGCCCGGGTAGTCGGTGTTGGAGGGGATGGCGGGCGACGGCGAGAGGGCGTCGAAGGTGGAGCTGGGCTGCGCATAGGGCGAGGGCGCCGTGACGCTGTTCTGCGCGTGGTCTGTGTTGTAGGGGCTGGTGGACGAGGAGCCGTTCTGAATCTGCTGGTCCATGCTGTTCAGGAGCCCCAGGTTCGTGTACTGCGGCTGCAAGGACATCCAGAAACCCCACGTTAGCTGCACATCATTGCTCCCCAAAAGGCATCATTGGGTGCATGCATTCTACAGAGATCAAACTCAGGTGGGAAACACTTCACGTCCAGACTAAAATTACCCATTTGTGATACACAGAAACACCAAGAAAAGGCTAAGGCATGTGTGTGTGTTCTAATGACCCTCACAGATCACACAGCTCTAACGTGCCTTTTTGGAGACTGGTTTCAAGGGCATATGAGTGTAGAATATATGCTTATTCACAAACTAGGCAAAAACTACCCAGTGCTTAGTACTCAGTAGCTGCTCAGGAATTCTTTGAAGTAAATGAATATTATTTGTTATTCCTTTTTCCTTTTTTTTTTTTTTTTTTGATCCATGGTATTCAGAATAAGAAAGACCACTTAATAGATAATAGATACATTCTAAAGGGGATTTATGCATCAAATTGTTGTATGTGGGGCAAAATCAGATCACTTTCAAATTTCCTCTTAGTCTTACAACTCTAAATTCTGTTCCGGGGTACCAGTAGTGTCCCCTCCCACCTACCCACCCAGGGTCTAGTTTCACAAAGACTGGAGAGGCATGGATATAGCAGGGTTAGAGAGACTCAACTATATATTTTAAAAGGTAATATGCTAGTTTATCATGCAAATATAATCTATTTTTAATGTGCTCTTTCATTTTCTTTGTTGCAGTTTATTCTTTTCTAGAGTAGAACATATATAAGATAAATACTTTCTAATTATAATAAAATTCTATGCTTGATATAATTCAGAAGTGCATTAGCTTCTGCCATATGCTTTTTTGTCTTCTATGTGAATGGGCCAGAGTACAGAACAAATATTTGGTGATTCTGGAAAGAGTAAATTCATTTTTTCCCACTTAATCTGCAAAACAACTTTACCATATTGCTGTCAGAGAGGAGAAGCGATTTGCCCAAGCACCAGCTAATAAGCAGAGTGGGGATTTTGAAACTAAATCTTCTGGTTCTGAGGCCAGGCTTCTGCCCATGCTGTCACAACTGTCAGCCTGATCAGATAAATCAGCCCATAGTCAGTCATTCCTAAACCTAAATCAAAATGAACACATTTCCAGAAGGGGCAACCAGCCTATGGTATGATTTTCTCTTTGTGAAAACTTCTGACACATGGAAATCTCATTGTTTCTTCAAGCTAATGAAGGAAGGAAAAATCAAAAGCAAGAAAAGGAAGGCAGCCCTATTTGGTACATATTATATAAAGAAAATAAGGATTAAAATAAAACTCTGGGAGACCCAGACTAAATGAAACTATGGAGAAGAATAAACTGAGAAAAAATGGGGGCTTGCCTAATTTTAAACTTTGAGTTTAATTATATTTTTAAAAAACCTTAATTATTTCACATGGGGAAGAGAAATGGAGTCTGCCATTCCATTCAGTCCAGAGAACATCTGTCTAAATGTTAATGGTCGCATGCCCAGTCCATTACATTCATGCATTCACATTCTTCTGCAGAATGCCATGTCCCCATTTGCTCTTCAAATAACTATTAATCTCTTTACACTTATCCCCATGCTGACAAGAGCAGCTGTTTGTCTCGCCTTCTCTCTCCTCTTTGACTTCTAGAGCTCCTATCTCTCTCCTATTCTCCATCTTCGGCTTCCTCTCCTGACAGTTGTGGCAAAACTGCAGGTAAGACAGCTAGGAGAGGAAAATAAAAAAAAAATAAACCCGAGGCTGGTACAAATGCATCCACACCCCTGGTTGAACTAAAGCTCTTAGGTATCCAAGCCCGAGGCAACAGCCTGGGAAGGGGATTGAAAAGATATTATTTGTGTTCAAGTTAAGGGTCAGTATACAAAGCACTCCTGAACGTCCTGTAGGAATCAGATAATGCTCTGAAAGGCACGTGCTCCCCTACAGCAGTACAATTAGGGAGGCAGCCATCCCTGACAAAAATGACAAAGAAACCTGCTGAGACTTTCTCAGTAAAATGCCTGTTGAGCCACCACTTCCTCCTCTTTCTAGCGACACAGAACTTCAGCTGATTGTGGGCTTGGAGGAGAACAAAAAACAGACCCTTTGAATTTTTTTTTCTTAATATATATAAAGAGAAAAGTTTGGGGACCAGCTTTAAAAGCCAGTAAGCAAACACTCATCGATTATCCAAGGACTTAAAATAAAGGGAAATTCTATTTACTTAGGAGTCACAAAGGAGACCCCCGGGACAGCAGAAAGATTGAACATACTGAGTGGCACCAAAGAACCAGAAACTATATTCCAAAAGTCATTTAATAGCACTGTGGGTGCTGAGGGGTCTACTTTTAAATGCTATAATTTTTAACTCTGAGTATTCCGGGAGAAATATTGTATTTAAGAACAACAGCATGTGTTCCCAATACTAGTTCCTCAATTTATATAACATAAAGCTAGATTTCTCTGAATTGGGCAAAAATCAGTTTACCATCCAACATAAAAATGGGAAAATGCATTTCAATTTAAACTCTTCCGAAATTATACCTGAAAGAAATATGAGCCAAGTAATATACTCAATTTTTTTAAAAAAGCATAAAACCAAAATGACTAACTTTGAATTTGTGCCCTTAAAATGAACACAAACAACTCACCAGAGTAAGACCCGTATAATCGGAAATCAAGTTAGATAGCTTTAAGTGAAATAAGCCAGGCACAGAAAGACAATGTTACATGATCTCACTCATATGTAGACTCTAAAAAGTTTTTTTCATAAAAGTTAAGAGTAGAATAGTGGTTACCAGAGAAGGGCGGTGGAGGTAATGAGAGACTGGTTAACAGGTACAAAGCTACAGTTCATGAGAAGAGTAAGTTCTAGTGTTCCATCACATAATAGGATAACTAGAGTTAACAATATTGTAATGCACATTCAAAATAGCTAGAAGAGAAGTTTTTGAATATTCTCATCACACAGAAATGATAAATGTTTAAGATGACGGATACACTATTCTGATTTGATCATTACACAATGTATGCATGTATTCGAAATATCACGTCGTACATGTTGTATTATAATGTTTCAATCATAAAATTTAAAAAATCAATAAGCCATAACTCTCCCATAGGAAATAGCTCTTTAGAAGTCATTTTTTAAATACATAGTATTTTATTTTTTAAAAATGTTCTTATTTGCTTATTTCTTTGATTGATTGTGTTAACAGAGTACGATTGGCTACATAGCCAAGAAGAACAAATGTTACCCAAGCAAGAACAGCAAATGGTTTCTAGTGCTCAATACAAAATGAAAATTCAAGGCCTCTTGTTGCTAAATTATTAAGAATTTCAAGATGCTGATAGCAGAGCATTAAACAAAGCATGGTGCCCTTCTGAGGTCAGGGCCCTTGTGAATGAATGCACTGTCTGCATGCCCATGAGCTCTGTCACAGGTCAATGTGAATAATATTTATCCCTTACTTTTCACCAAAGTGGAGTGAAGGGAGCAATACTTGTTCCTATTCTTTACTGTCAGTAATTCCATAAATATGGAGGGGAGAAACTTGTGTTAAGGTAGGATGCAGTGCTTATTGATAATGGTAAGTAAAAGAGTCTCTGAAATTAGAACATGATGCTTTCATATCAGCTACAAAAACTGCCCTGGGAAGAACTGTATAAGGCCCCAAATGTCCCATGTATTTCTTATGTAACAAAAGTTATTAGAATTTTTTAAATGAAAGAGGAAGCAAATTCTCCCTTTCTAACCACAAGGTATCTTTACCTTGGAATAACCTTAACATATTCTCCAGGCACTTAAATAATGAATGAATGAAAATGTTATATCTGAAAGAGAAGGCAGTCTTTATTCCACAAAATATAAAAGGTAAAAATAAACACAATTTGTCAGATATCTACAATAAATCTAATAAAGTAAAACAATTGATTTCCTCTGATTTCAAACAGATGCTTCATTTCCTGTGAATAACTTTGAAATACAAAATTCACTATGTGGACCCTGGAAAATCACCAACATCTTTAGCTGGAATATATTCAGGTTTATTACAAACTAGCTGACCTGGCCACAGAAAGATAAATTCCTCAGTCACAGGAACTTAACATACTCTAGGTAAACACAGAACATCCTAAGGGTGTTCTGAAACCATGTAGCTGACATGATAAGTATAGGGATACCCAGGGGCTGAATCTCAAGCTGTTTACTTTCATCATGAGGAAAGAACAAATATAACCTACCAGTTCCCAAATATAAGAAAGAGTGTTTTCTTGTTTATTTATGTTCCTTCTCCCATTAAGTCTTTTTGCACTCTCATAGCCATCTACAGACTCTGATCTATGTCTTAATTAAACTTCAATTCATATGCTTGGAATTAAAATAGCAATACAGAGGACTAGAGTTTCCCTGACTGGTCTTTTAAAAACGTCCTATGAATACAATCCCTGCAGTTTCATTTTATTTTCTTTCCTGGATTATGTCCTTGTGATGATCTTAAATCGTAAACATCTTATGGGCCTGAAGTTTCTTCTCATAAGCTCAACATTAATGGGTCAGTATATATTGCTATAAACAAAGCTCAATATAAATACCTGGATTTACATTTATTTAAAGCTGATGATGTAATTATTTTCCTGTAAAAGAATTTAACATCAAAAAAGGATTCCAATTAAGTGATTTGACCATTGCAGAAGAAACAGGGACTTAAGTATAATTTATGTTTTTGAAAATCTCTCGCCACCAATTTATCTGTATAAGAGAAATTTTATAAGTTCTCTTTATCAGATATTATTATCTGTAATAGCTACATGGCAACAATAGCCAACAACATATGGCAAGAGGTTAGTTTGAAAAAAAAAAAAGGAATGTGGACCAAATCAGGGATAGGAGGGGTTACTGTTGGAATATATAATCATAATTTATCTCAATTCAAATGAACACTTGTTATAGGAAACAATCATTTGCCCAAATTTCATTTGGAAGAAATTATATATATATAATCCCTGAGTTCCTGTTAAACAGGCTAGGGAACTGAA